GTTTACCATGTAGCCAGACTAGTGTCTAGCTGCAACATCACAAATTAATTATAATATAGGAAGTTGAGGATGCCTAAATTACATGAAGGACAGTGCCCAAGAAGAACAATAAAAGTCTACATGAGGCAAAGAACATTAAAAGGCATTCTATAACAGAGTAATAAGCATGAACAGATAGGAAGAGCTCTTTTTCGGGAGTGGTGGAGAATAAACGGATGCAAGTCACCTCTCCAGAAGTAATATTGAAAGAGTCATTATATCCAGTTTGTGCTTGATGTTTCAGTCTCAGGAAGCTGAGCAGAACAGCTGGTTAGTTGGCTCTGTTGGTCTCTTGTGGGGCTCCTGTCACCTTCAGGTTCTTTCTCTTTCCCTCTACTTTTCCACAAGAGTCCCTACACACCACCTAATGTTTAGCTGTGAGTCTCAGCATCTGTTTTGAAGTGCTTCTGGGTAGCACCTCTCAGATTCCTGTCTGGAAGTTTTGCAGAGCATCTTTCATAGCGTTAGGGTGGAGCTTTGTTTGGGTCAGACATTTTTGGGCATTCCCTGAATCTCTGCCCTATCTTTACCACTGCACATATTGTAGGCAGGGTAAATTTGGGGTTGAAGTTTTTGTGGGTGGGTTGGTGTTCCCCTCCCTCTGCTAGGAGACTAGTCTAGTTAGTGCTTGTCCTCTTCAGTCTTTATGGCCTCTGTTACTAGGAGTCTCTTCTTGGTACCCCTCATATCCCTCAAGATTCTACCCTGACTCAGGTCTTCAGCTTTTCACAGAGATAATCACAACCCTCAGCTTCTCAACCCTCAGTTGTATTAGCTTGCACTCTCACCAGCAATGGAAGAGTATTCCCTTTTCTTCCTACAGAGATGCAGCTGATGGGCATCTTATACCTCAAGAGGGTCCTCTTGTAAGGGAAGTGGGGACTGAATCAGACATGGAATCACTTGTCACCTTTTGATCACCTTCCCCAGGAGACAGCCCTGCCAGGCCACAGGAAAAGCAGAGAAGCTCAGTCCTGAGGCAATTTGATAAGCTAGGCAAGATGGGAAAGGGGCTCCCTTTTCTTAAAATAAAAAAGGGAAGTGGGAAGAGATAGACTGGGAGGGGAAGAAGGATGAGGCTTTGAGAATGTAAAGTGAATAAAAAATTAAAAAAGAGTAATTAGGGAAAAGAAAAAGAGGAACCGAAAAGAAGAAATTATTTTCAAATCTGATTGATATGCAAAGGTCTTATGTTAATATCATGTGAACTTTGAGATTATTGCTTTATCTAAATTGAGTCTAATTTTAGTTCTATTAAGATAATGTCATTTAAATTTCAAAATGATAAGAGCACATCTTCATGTTCTTATATTGATATTGACGTTATAGCTTCACCTATCTGCATAATTCTTTTCCATGTGAGTGCTTCCAGCTTAAGTATGGATATTTCTTTTTTACATTAAATTTATAATTTTTTAAAAATAATTACATTTTATTCACTTTCTACCCCAGCTGGAACCCCCTCTCTCATTCCCTCTCAATCCCGTCCTCCCTCCCTCATCTTCTCTCATTGCCCTCTATAAGGCCACTGAAAGGGGAGGTCCTCCTTCCCTTCCATCTAACCCTAGCTTATCAGGTTTCATCAGGGTTGGCTGCATTGTCTTCCTTTGTGGCCTGGCAAGGATGCTCCTCCCGGGGGGGGGGGGTGAGTCAAATAGCCAGTCACTGAGTTCATGTCAGAGACAGTCCATGTTCCCCTTACTAGGATACCCACTTGGATACTGAGCTGCCATGGGCTACATCTAAGCAGGGGTTCTAGCTTATATCCATGAATGGACCTTGGTCCTTGGTTAGAGTATCAGTCTCAGAAAAGACTGCTGTGCCCAGTTATTTTGGTTCTGTTGCTCTCCTTCCACTTGGATACTGAGCTGCCATGGGCTACATCTAAGCAGGGGTTCTAGCTTATATCCATGAATGGACCTTGGTCCTTGGTTAGAGTATCAGTCTCAGAAAAGACTGCTGGGCCCAGTTATTTTGGTTCTGTTGCTCTCCTTGTGGAGCTCCTGTCCTCTCCTTCTTTCATATGATTCCCTTCACTCTGCCCAATGTTTGGTTATGAGTCTCAGCATGCTTTGATACATTGCTGGGTAGAGTCAGAGGCTCTCTGTGTTAGAATCCTGTCCTGTTTCTTGTTTTCTCCTTCTTCCAATGTCCATCTTATTTGTCTTTCTAAGTGAGGATTGATCATCTTACCCATGATCCTCCTTCTTGTTTAGCTTCTTTAGGTGTACAGGTTTTAGTATGTTTATCTTATATTATAGGTCTAATATCCATTTATAACTGAGTATATACCGTGTGTGTCTTTTTGCTTCTGGGATACCTCACTCTGGATGATTTTTTCTAAATCACACCATTTCCCTGCAAATTTAATGATTTCCTTGTTTTTAATTGCTGAGTAATATTCCATTGTGTAAATGTACCACAATTCTATACCCATTCTTCTGTTTAGGGACATCCGGGTTGTTTTCAGATTCTTTTACTATGAATAAAGCTGCTACAAACATGGTTGAGCAAATGTCTTTGTTGTGTACTTGAGCATATTTTGGATATATGCCTAGAAGTGGTATAGCTGGATCTCGAAGGAGTGCTATTCCTAATTGTCTGAGAATGCTCCAGATTGATTTCCAAAGTGGATGTACAAGTTTACATTCCCACCAGCAATGGAGGAGGGTTCCCCTTTCTCTACATCATCTTCAGCATAAATATAGATATTTCTATTTCCAAATATCAATATATATCAAAGGAAGAGTCTCAGATTTTACATATTTTCCTCATGTGGTCACAGCTGACAGTGAGAACAGCAAATAATCTCTTTCTGATCCCATTTGAGAAAGCTTAGGAAAATATTTCTATTCGTTTTAGTGATGACATTACCAAGCAATGTGACACTTTCCTTCAAACTACATTTCTTACTGGAAAATTTTTCTCTAAAAGCATTATATATTCCCTCTGTTTAAAACATTTAAATACATAGTTCCAAGAAAGATCTGTTCAGTTCCTCAAAGATATAATTCAGAAACAATAACTCTAGCTGTAACGTACATGTATCTTTATGTCTTTAGGTCAATAAAGAGCAAAATGGCTGAAGCATTCCAGAATTAACAGCTACAGAAAATGTCTGAGTAGTAAGTGAAGTATGGTAGTTCACAGAGGGTCAAACTGGGAGTTGAATAAATTAGGATTAATATATAGAACAGCTTTCAACCTTAAAAAATTAATTAGAACCGTAAGTGTACAGATTGGGTGAAAAGAGAGATTATGTTTAAAAAAAAACAATAAAATGTCCTGTATTTGATTAGATCAGAGAGATCAGATACAAAGAAAAAATGTTATTACCAGAACACCAGAAGAGTGTCAAATCAACAAGATGTGGATTTGCGATCATTGCTGAAATATATATATATATATACATATATAAACATTTAAGTTGAAGAAAATAAATGTAATTTAAAGATTTAATATGTTTATTAATTCATAAATTATCAAAAATATTATTCCTAGAACAACTGTTTTTTGCCTGTGATTTTATAACCCTAATTATGGGGGATGGGGCCCTGAGACAGAAAGAGAAACATTTGAGTGTATGAATGTATGACAAATCTGGGATTCACACATGAGTGCGCACACTCACATACACACGCACACAAACACACACTGAGAGAGGAGGAGAAGGAAAAGAAAGATGGAGGAAGAGAGAGACTTTTATACTTTCAAAACTTCCAATACATACTTTCTTGTTTTTTCTTTCTTTTTTTCTATTTTTTTTTTTTCAAACAATCTGATTTTTATTACCAGAGACCTCATGTCCCATAGCAAACCATACACTTCTGGAATTTTATTTACTAACTGTTTATTTTTAATTTTTTCTTTATTAATTACACTTTATTCACTTTGTATCCCCCCTGTGGTTCTCTCCCTCCTCCTCTCCCTATCCCTCCCTTCCTCTACCTTCTGCATGAATGCCCCTCCCCAAGTCCACTGATAGGGGAGGACTTCTTTTTCTTCCTTCTGATCTTAGTCAATTAGGTCTCATCAGGAGTGGCTGCATTGTGTTCTTCTGTGGCCTGGTACTGCTTCTTCCCCTCAGGGGGAGGTAATTAAAGAGCAGGCCAATCAGTTCATGTCAGAGACAGTCCCTGTTCCTATTACAATGGAACCCACTGGGACACTGAACTGCCATGGGCTACATCTGTGCAGGGGTCTTAGGTTATCTCCATGCTTAGTCCTTGGTTGGAGTATCAGTCTCAGGAAAGTCCTCTCTGCTCAGATTTTTTGGTTCTGTTGCTCTCCTTGTGGAGTTCCTGTCCTCTCCAGACTTGTTCCCTCTTTTCTCTTCTTCTAATGTCCATCCTCTTTGCCTTTCCGGATAGGAATTGAGCATTTTAGCAAGAGTCCTTGCTCTTGATTAATTTCTTTAGGTGTACAGATTTTAGTAGGTTTATCCTATGTTATATGTCTATATGAGTGCATATATACCATGTGCATCTTTCTGCTTCTGGGATAGCTCACTCAGGATGATCTTTTCCAGGTCCTACCATTTACCTGCAAATTTCATGATTTCCTTGTTTTTCATTGCTGAGTAATACTCCATTGTGTAGATGTACCACAGTTTCTGCATCCATTCTTCAGTTGAGGGGCATCTGGGTTGTTTCCAGCTTCTGGCTATTACAAATAAGTCTGCTACAAACATGGTTGAGCAAATGTCCTTGTTGTGTACTTAAATACATGACAACTTTTTCGATTCACTGTTATACATAGATCCATATATTCACATATATGTGTGTGCTTCCAAATGCATGAGTTCACAATATAAAAACACTCACTCAACATTATGCAGAACGAGCTCATTATTCTTAATGGATATGGATGCAAAGAACTAAAGAAAAAGCAAGTGCAATGATGTGATAATAGCAAGTGTTTAAAGGGTAAAAAAAAAAAAAAAAAAAAAAAAAGTGTGACCCCCTGCCGCTGGAGGCATTTTAGGTGTGGCTGCTATGTCATTCGTGGGTCAGTAAATGCCAGAGGCGAGAGAAAGTATGTCTTTGCTTAGTGTCCTGACCTTTGAACAGCTGAGTGACTAGTAGCCTAACCTTCCCTGAAGAAGGAAACCTGAGACACCCACCAGTCCAGCACCCAGGGGCCTGGACAGGACCCTAGCCTGAGATGACTGTCAGTCTGCTGCCATAGAGGCCTGGATGGGCTCCTGGGGCGAACAAACAACCTAGAAGAACCCTCTCTGGTACCACAGGAAGCAGGATAGAGCTGGTTCCGGTTGCGGAGATTGCAGGTGAGCCAACCCTGAGGGGCGTAAGAGCCTGAGAGCTGGTGAGGTGAGCGCTGGATACCTCTCTGGCCAAGATCTAAGGCTTTGAATTGGCCCACCCCAACCTCTACCCCATAGAAGAACTTTTGGAGTACATGAAGGGGTCTACAGATCCAAGCTACAGGATCTCCATGACACAGGGCAAAAACAGGATATCTGAGAGAAGTCCCGGTGAGGTTTCAGTAGGATAGAGTGGCAGATGCCAGATCAAGGAGTCATTACAATGAACATTTAGAAGCAAAGAAATATGGGCAAAAAGGTGCGCTGTGGGACACACTGTGACACAGCACCGCGTCCACGCGAGATTTTCCTTTGTCTGTTTTGAGTATGAGAGAAAGCGAATTGAGTAAAGAGTGGGAATGGGGTACGTAATGTGAAATTCACAAAGAATCACTAAAAAGTAGAAAAATCAAAAAATAAATCAAAATTTAAAATGTATGACACTGTCTTAAGGTGTAAAAATCTAACAGCATTATTTATCACACTAATAAAAAATAGGAAATAAACCACAAGCCTCACTAGAAGCAAAGAATCCACAGGATGTAATTCAAATCTTTTTTGACTTAATTATATAGTCACGGCAGAAGAGAAGTTTTCTTAACCTGATAAAGAAAGTCCTGAAAAACACATCAGGACTTGTATTACTCAATGGATCCACATTCAGTGTTTTTTAATGGAAATGTTGTGCTACAAGAGGCTTTTGAATCTCTACTTTTACAGCTCTCCGTATGAAGACAGTGAGTGCCATAGGAGAAACTAGTACATTTTAAAAGAAAGGATTAGAAATATGAAAACAAATGTTTCCAAATGTGAGCAGAAAACAAATACCATAAAATGACTCTTATTTGTGAATTACATTTAAGAGAATGTAAATAATATTTGAGTTAATAAATAATAATTTCTAAGTTCATGCTTATGTTAAATGGTTTTTAAAAAGCAAATATAATGAAATATTCCAGTAGTAATAATACTCAATATTTTAAAAATAAGCTAATTAAATCATAAAATATATGCATAGAAATCTATAAACTATTATTAAAAAATATTAAAAATAGATAAAACTATACAGTGAATTGATACACAGTCTCATACTAATCTCAAAAAAGAAATATTGCTACAAATTTTATTACACAAAAAGGAATTGGTGGTACACAAGAGTGGAAGAATGAAGGTAAAAGCAAAACAAACAAAAAGTATCATGATCCTACCTTGTGAAACTTGCTTTTACATTGTATTTTATTTCTACTGACATATGTATTAAAGTATTCATCATTTTATACTTGTAGTAGTCATTTTCATTATATAAAATAATATAAATTCATATATGTATGATGAAATCTGTAATGTGAATATACAATATTTTATAGAATATACCACATTATATCTACACTATATGCTATTTTAAATCATAAAACATTTAATAAATGATCAAATCTAGATTTTTTTTGAGAATGCTAATATATCTATGTCAGTTAGATAAAACATTGTGAGTAAATAACAGTTTCCCATCAACATAAATACCTGCAAGACAAAGCTCAAATGAGAACAAACTATGTAACTTTCTGTGAGGTAGAACTCAAAACATTAGTTACCACATTCTCAATGTGCTACTACATTATGTAAATCAATTACATTTCCTGACATGATCTACCATTACTCGAATGATAATAACGTTTGCATAGCTACATGAAGTGTTTCAGAGTGCAAATTATTGCAGTTATTATGGAAAACAACAGAAAAATTCTACAAAAAGTAAAACCAGAACTGCCATAGATGTGCTGACAAAACAAAGCATCTGTTTGTTATGTTTTTGTTGTTGTTTTATTTGTTTGTTTTGTTGTTTCAGTTTTTTTTTTTATTTTTGTTTTTTGGCTGTATGCCCTCCTCATTCATTGAAGTGTTACTCAGAACTTAAAACGTGAGACTGATATCCCGACCGAGGACCATGCACGGAGAGGACTTCCATTCTGAGGATGTCAATTTGGAGGACAGCAGTAAGTATAAGGTTGTTATTCAGAAAAATAAAATTGTTCTACATTTTAATAGAGGCAGGAATTAATAAGGTGGCTTATGTGGCTTGCTTATTTTCTTTATATACAGAATCTCAATATAAAATTAAGGATTTGGAATTACTTAACTTTAGTAAAATTTATAAAGTGTTTTCTTTCAAAACACACAGATCTCTATTCTTTTATTTTTACATATTTTTATTACAATTTATTCACTTTGTATCCCCACTGCAGGCCCCTCCCTTGTATCCTCTAGTCCCACCCACCCTTCCTCTTCTCCCCCTATGCCCTTTTCATAGTTCCTTGATAGGGGAGAACCTCCTCCCCTTCTATCTGACCCTAGCCTATCAGGTTTCATCTACTCTTTTATAATGATGGTTAAATTACATCACAGTGAATTTATTTTCTGGGCTGATCATATGATATTATGTAACCAATAGGTGAGATCTTCCACAAAGGAGAGGTACAAGGAACATTATGTAGGCTGAGAAATATATATATATATGAACACTTATAGATGTGTATTTAATATTTATATATACATTATATATATTTGCACATACATATGTTTACATATGTGTGTTTATGTATGTTACACATATATTCTCATTAAGAAGGATAGCATGAATTTGAAAACACTTCAGAGAGGTGTATGGAAAAATTAGCAAAAAGTAAAGAAAGAGTGGAATTTATGTAATCATATTATAATTTTAAAAAATAAAAGAAATAATTTAAAAAATAACATTTCAAATTTGGCTAACAGCACATTTTCTTCTTTTTAAGTCAAACAGAAATAATTTAGTATGGTTACTTGAAAACTAGAAGGCTTAAAATTTGACACTATAAATTATCATTATTCATTTTATAGTGGCATTGATGTCATAAATTTCTATTTTCAGCAAATTATCATGAAAATTGTTCTCAATGTTATTTTGACATTATTTTTGATCAAAGGAAAGGAAGTGTTGTTGAGAGCTAATTATACTTAAGTGATGTTTCATATTCTTTGTGTGTGAATAATAAATGACTTTATTTTTGATTTTTAAAAAGTTTTAATGTGCTTTCAATTGAAGTGGAATTGCATCACATTCTCTTTTTTTCTGTCACCAACACCTCCCACCTGCACTCTTTTGAACACCTCCTACGGCCCTCTACTTCCAATTTAATAGCTACATTTTGTGATTATTATTTTTAGTTACATATATATGTAAAGGTATGTGCTTAATAAATATATATGCATACATACAACCTGTTGTTCCTGTTTTTGTTGCTGGTACATAAAACATATCAAGGCTTACCTCTGTATATGGAGCAATCAAAAAGGGGGCTACAAATTCCTCTTGATATAAAGACAATAACACTTAAGACTATCCTTCATAATCAGCTCAATAATAAGTTTAACAATCTTTAGTAGGATTTTACCTCACTTTTCTACAAGTAGAGCTAGTTTAGAAAACAGTTATAGTTAAAATTTGTGTGACCAATATTTATATTGGTGAATATTTGGTGTATCCATCTGTATGGTTATTTACACACACTTTCTCAAATACACATTTATTTGAGTTTAATAGATCACATTGTCTTTTAATCTTTGGTCATGGATGTGAGGAAAAATACAGATGTCTTATTGGAAGTTTGTAAACATATGCCTATTTAGCATTTTTAATGTGTAAATGAACATGTTTCCAAGACAAAACACACATAGTTCACATAATACTGAAGAATTTTTGTATTTTTTATTTTATTTTTATTAATTACAGTTTATTCACATTGTATCCTAGCTGTAGCACTCTTCCCCATCCCCTCCCAATCAATCTCTTCTTCCCTCTTCTTCTCCTATGCCCCTCCCTCAGTCCAATGATAGAGGAGGTCCTCAACTTCTTCCATCTGACCCTAGTCTATCAGGTCTTATCAGGGCTAGCTTCTTTGTCATCCTCTGTGGCCTCGCAAGGCTATTCCCCCCTCAGGTGGAGGTGATCAAAGAGCCAGCCCATGAGTTCATGTCAGTCCCTGTTCCTATTATTGGGGAATCTTCTTGGACACTGAGCTGCCATAGGCTACTTCTGTGCAGGAGTTCATAGTTATTTCCATGCGTGGTCCTTGTTTGGAGTATCAGTCTCAGAAAAGACCCCTGTGCCCAGATTTTTGGTTCTGTTGCTCTCCTTGTGCAACTGTCCCCTCCAGGTCTTTTTATTTCCTCCTTCTTTCATAAGATTGCCTGCACTCTGCAAAAAGCTTTGCTATGAATCTCAGCATATGTTTTGATTCCCTGTTGGGTAGAGTCTTTCAGAGGCCCTTTCTGATAGGCTCCTGTCCTGTGTCCTGTTTTCTCCCTCTTCTGATGTACATCTTGTTTGCTTTCTGAATGAAGATTGAGCATCTTACCTGGGTCCTCCTTCTTGATTAGCTTCCTTAGGTGTACAGATTTTAGTATGATTATCCTATATTATATGTCTAATATATGCTTATAAGTGACAATAATATGTGCCATTTTAAAAATAAAATAAAATTAAAGTGACTTAGGAAGGAATTTAAAGAAAATCACCTACGTACTATACTTAAATGGAGTAAAATATCTTTTACTATCTTTACCTCTATAAGAAAAGGAGCAAAAATTCATTTAAAGATACCCCCTGCCTCCAAAAATAGTCATCAAACATTGTGTAAGTGTAGACTGTTCATGAAGAGGTGGTGAGGATTTAGAACTATGTCATTACTGCCATAATCTTGACAGACATGGAACTATTGGTTCCTTCGCTAT